ATATTGGATTTTATGAACACTATACACAAGCATGATTATCATAGGACTCGTATATGGATTTTGGTGCAAAACAAAATAACTTTACCTCTATATTTTCCATTTACTAAAACTGAATAAAACAAGTTTTACAATAAGGTTAAAGGCAAATAAAACGGAACACAAACTTAAAAGATTTCCGTTTGTCGACTAATTTTTAACCAATGAACTTAACCTTTTGAGCTTTCTGGTTTCCGAAATCTCGAATTACATCATCAAAACTCAGTTCCCGCAAAATGCCAGTTTCTATGTACTGTACAGTACAGTTGCCTCCACATTTAATGTACCACAGCCTGGGAGTGTGTGAGGGTTGGGGTACGAGATGTCGCAAGGAAGCGCCGTAGTCAGAGATGAATGAACGGGCGTGAAACGGAAATTACCCTGTTTGTGTGGCCACACATCAGTGCTGAAGAACACTTATCACATGGATGCTTTATTTGTTTATTTTATGCAGCATTGTTGTGAGGCCACAGCTGGGTGACTTGGGCTGAACAACGGGGAACCGGCAAACAGTGTACGTAATCCACGGTTTTACTCCCATGACTACGGTACTGCCTTGCCACATCTATTACCTGTGCCCTCACACACTCCCAGGCCGTGGTACGTTCATGTGAAAGCAACTGTACATTAGTGAGAGCATATTCAGGTGCTTTTGTTTCAATATTGCTTATGTTTCATCTTTGATCAGTTTCAGTTTTGAAAAGCTGCAGTTTGAGACCACGAGACAAAGATACATTCGATAAGCTATTTTCACATTAACAAAGACATCTCTCAATCCGTGGTGCAAAAGCATCCGGTATGTAATCATTTCAGTGCTGCAGTCTTGATTTTCAGTCATGTTACGAGAATCATTGATATGAGCAGCGGCATAGGATGCAAAGTGAACCATTTCATCACCCAGGCTGTTCTCAATATCAATAAAGTAATGCTGAGACTACAGATCACAGTGACTTTTCAATGCAAGTGCGGTATTCAGCTGGTCAATGGTTGTTAGAAAGACCTCGCTTCGAAATTTCCCTTTTCCAGGTCTCTGCTTCTTCACTTGACCCTTCATCAAACTGTCCCTTCTGTCGACCGTTTTCTGCTAGTGACTTCCTTGTATGTGTCAGCTTCACCCAACTCTTTTCTTTGTTCTTTATATGAATCAAGTTCAGAACGTAATGACCAAACAAAATCCTGTAATAAACTCAACAATACAACTGCATTATTCAAGTCAAGTGTAGAACTTTAAAGTGCTTGGCTGGTTTTATTAAACCTTTGAAGAATAGTGTAATCGCCAGTCAGGCGGTTAAGGATATTTAGACTCTTCACCTAGAACTCGAAAATTATAATTCGGTCAAACCTGTTGAATACAATTCATTTAGTATTTCAAATAAGTCATGCATAGGCACTCCTACATAAATGTTTAATCCAATATATATTTACATAACAATCATGGCTATGTAATTAGTCTAATCTTAACACTTACAATGAGTACTCAATTTGCCATATTTCTATATTGTCACACTGATAAATGATGCAATGGACACAGTCTACCTGTGTACACAATAAGTACTAGTTAAACTTACGTGTTGAAAGTCTAGAGAGAAGCCAGGGTAGGTGTTGACTCTAAGATATGGGTAGCTATACTGAAATGCCCACCCTATAGCCTGGCCCCCTGGCTGGTCAGCTATGGCTGAGTCAGGTGATTATAATTATACATAAACAAACTCCCTTCACACGCTCCAACCTCCTTCTGGGCCTCTCATCTTCAACCATCTCAACACTCTACATACTGTATACGGGCAGGCACACCCAATAAACATGACATGACTTACAGCCTAACATATTATTTGTTTATGTGTTTGCTGCTTGCCGTAACAAATAGTGTCTCAACAGTGTAAGGATTCCAGTTGATTGGAGGTCTCCTCAAGCTTGGGGCCTGGGGCTTCAACCTCATTAATCTCCATGTAAATCCGGCCCTGTATATACTGAAGCCAAAACCCTTATAGATATGTTCACTGACCCACATCGGAGCCTGGGGGGCGAAAATGTAATAATAATAATAATAATAATAATAATAATAATAATAATAATAATAATAATATTTCAGATTAGTAAAATTTATAATAAAAATAAATAAATAATAATGATAACAATAATAATAATAATAATAATAATAATAATAATAATAATAATAATAATAATAATAATAATAATAATAATAATAATAATAATAATAACAACACTGCAATAATAATAATAATAATAATATTAATAATAATAATAATAATAATAATAATAATAATAATAATAAAGAAGCAAAAAGAAATACAAAAGTGAAAAAAGATCAAGTGTCAGAAACAATATATGTATGTTGTGTTGTCAACGGTAAGAGATCCAGGAGTTTTACCTAAAAACTACCGTTTCCATTCTACGGGATCCTCGGGGCAACTATATCCAAGCCAACTTGACTCCTGCTGTCCGAGGCCGACCTCCATCTAGAAGACAGTGGCGAGGGTCACTCATCCTGGCCCTTCAGGAACACGACCTCCTGCCTGATATTGTTGTCATCCCTGCTGTTAGTTCGTCTCCTTCTCCCTGGCTGGATTTTCAACCCGAAGTGATTGCCCTCGGTGGACCGCTCCCGAAATCCCACGTGAACCCTGTTATTCTCTGCAAATACCACCTCTCCAGGATCGCCCACTGGTCCCCAGGTAGGGTCGTCCTCTACACTGATGGCTCTGTTGACCCCGCTACAGGTCGGGCCGGGGCTGGTGTCTACATCTCCCGTCCTCATGCCCCTGAGCCTTTCAAACTTTCTCTCAGAGTTTCTGACGGGGCATCCTCCACTCAAGTCGAACTAATAGCCCTCCTTGCTGCCCTTCTCGCTGAGGAAGAAGCAGATGGTTTCTGCCCCTTGCTTGTCTGCTGCGATTCCAGGTCTGCTCTCGACGGGATCGCATTTGGATCAGGGGAAAATAAGGACCTCATCCTCCGAATACGAGGGTTAATATCCACATTTCAGGATGCAGGCCGTCCTGTGACATTCCTATGGATACCCAGTCATGTCGGTATCTTGAGGAATGAGGCAACAGATGGCCTTGCCAAGACTGGCTGCAACAATGCCACACCTGACTACGTTGTTCCTCGAACACTTTTGCAGCTTAGGAACCAAATTCGCCGAAAACAGAGAGAAGCTCGGGAAGCAGCCCACCTGGTACGATGTCCTCCGTAAACTTCCTGACCTCTCGTATGTCTATGGGAAAGGGTCACGGAAAAGGGACGTGATTGCTGCCCGTATCATCATTGGGTATGACTTTGCTTGGGAGATTGGTATCCCCGCATCCCCTGAGCAACACTCTTTTGCATTATGCAGAAGACCCGACAGCCGCACCCTTATTCACTACCTCCTAAGATGTCCCCACACACAACGCTTCCGTGACGCCTGCTGGACCACCACTCCACGACCCCCTGACGGAGACACGATGATCCTCCCCATACTGGCCAGATATTATGTAAATAACATTGATTATGTGTTAAAGGAATATCCTTCCTTCCTTAGGCTTTAATAAGCCCCTTTATAATATTTATTTTTACTGTATATACTTGTGACACTTGCCAGATGCTTCTGGTGTTATTGTACAGGGGTACCCAGTGACAGCACTAGGATCCCGCTTCCTCTATCAAGGAATAGCCAATTGAAATTGAAATTGAATTGAAAATTGTAAGAGAAACAATTGAGACCCTGCAATTGTGTGTAAATGAGGTAGAAAGTCAGGTCAGCAACCTGGGACTTGGTCACAATTTTCGTGATGCCATATGGCAGCAGGGTCTACGATTAGACAGCACATTATGCTTCCAGTATCTTCCCAAGCAGTAATACCTCCCTGTTTGGTAGCTGCCTACTACCTAAATGCATAGATAACCGAGAAATCGATTAAATGAAACAAATTCATAGGTCATAGCACAAGAGACTGGACTTGGTCAACAAGTGTCATCAAACAGCCCAATCCCTAGCTCCAGCACACTAACCCTAGTGTGCTGGAGAACTAGGGATTTGGCAGTCCGGTAAGAGTTATTTTTTTTCTTATGCAACATGCGACGTGGACAGTGACCCAGTGGGAAGGTTAAAAATCGCATTCTTCTCATAAAGAATAATATCAGTGAACTAATAGCGACAACAGCAAATGGATCGTTAACACCTCGCAGCAATAGTATATATCGTAGCATATGTACAAAACTAAAGTTCAGTAATGTCGGTACCTTTACGTTTATTTTTTTTATATTTTAAGATACATATCTCATTACAGAGATAACAGTTAATAATGTCATGTATGGCAGAGCCGTTAATAAATCTTTTCCCCCCCTTGGTGCAAGGCCGTTAACTGCCCCTCCTAGACTATGAATCTAACGACGGGGCTGGGTACAGTAATTACCACTTACCAACGCGATTAAAATTTATTCTTCGAAGCACCCTACAGAAGATCACATCAAAATTTAAGCATAATTATCTTTTCAATAAATTATTTGCAAAATATTATTCGAAAAATATTGTTATTGGAATATAATAATATAAATCAATACCAAACAAATTTTAATGAAGTATTAAAAATTCAAAGTTTCTTCTTAATTTATATTTTTATTTTAATAAATACTTGTATCTAACCTCCGTAATTGGGTTAAACTACAATGTGCTTTGTGTTTAGCGGGCAAGTGTTTCGCCAATCAGCTGGGAAGATCCAGCTGATGTTGCTGATACCTTATAAATATTACTTCCCCCAATTAAATGTAATTTTCATTTCACATGACACACTGATAATATTTTTTTTCACATTATAATTGATGACCATTTTATTTTAAATAACATGTTACCCATCATTTTTTTTAAATAAATAAAATAAAAATGTTAACATCGCAGTTGGCAGTTGTTTGCTCACCCCGACGACAACAAACCATCTTAGCGAGAGTCGACTCCTGTGCTCCTGACGTTTGTGGCGGTACGTCTTGCTGCTTAACATCCTCATTGTGTGCTGTCTTACCTGCTGTGCCACTGCCTTATTGCTGACAACTAGCCCAGCCATTTACCGAAAGGGTTATGTTGGATTTTTTCTAAAAATAGATAGTAAGAACCATTTCACTTTGTTTACGTTTTCTAAGTTACAGATTGGAGTCGCAGTGTTTTGATAAGAATTTTTGTGAGGTGTTATTACCCACATGGATTATTGTATTAACATAACTCATAACTACGGTGACTTGTATATGGCTGAGTAATTTACGTTTTTTGTACATTTTGTTCTTATCATTAGGTAAGTGATGACACCCATCAGGACGGAAAGGTTAGATATTAGATGATATTTCTTGGATAGTTCATTTGTTCCCATAAGGCTTGTATTGAGGTATTCGTTTTTTATTATTATTATTATTTGGGTTAGCTGTTTGGCTACACAAGTGATTTGGAGCCTGTAAGTGTCTGAAAAATTTTGCAATCAATAGTCATGGATTCACCTATATGCCTGGTCATAAACTTTGGGCTTTCTTCAATACATTAATTACCTGAAATAGGCACGAAAACAATTGATCTTATCTTGAAGGTAATCTTTAACCTCTTGGTATTTAATACCTTAAATTCAGTGTGATTAGAGGGATCATAATTATACAGTACTGTATTTGGTTATATTCCCTTAAAGGAAGTGCACTTCATTTATCTAACTGCTTTCTTGTGTAGACTTATCTCTTAAATTAGCAGACCATCTAGTTTCAGTGACAAGCATAGAGGCACCACTTCTTTTTATCTTGTTGTATGTTAACTTGAGCTGTCACTTTTCCTGCAAATTTCCTAAGGAACTCCTTGTTCTGTATTTTGGTAAACCCTTTTCTTGGACCATTTTATTTCTTTGATATTTTATGACATGTTCTTCTGATGTGTTTGTTGTAATGCAAAATATGTGAAACTGGTGGCAAAGCAAGTGAAAAGCTAGTGTGAAACCACTTAAAAGGCAGACCATAAGAACCATCTTAAACTTAGCCTAACCAACACTACTCTACAATCTGTAGATTGGGTTAGGTTAGGAATGGTTGATTCTTTCAATCTGTTTTATCATTAATCTTCAAAATGATTTTTTCCCTGGTTTTCACATCAGATTTACATTCTTGCATTAAACAAAACATTGATTAAGATCCCCTGAGAGAATGTGAAGACATAATGTGGTACAAGTAGAACAGTACAGTACCATATTTTTGTTTTAATGCACAGCAGTCAAATAGGGTGTCAAAGTAGGAAAACATGCAGTTATGAAATAATTTATGAAGTAGACTACATAAACCAAGGTCATCTAAACTAACCAAAACCAATCTAGGATCATTAGGTTTGCTTTAGTTGGTTCATGTGGTTGGCTTCATAAATGTTTTCAGATTAAGTTTTTTCCTTACTTCCCATTAGCTGTAAAGATCTCATTAAAAATCAAGAAATAATGTTGGAGAGAGAAACATTTACCCTACATTTTTATTTATATAGTTAAGCTGATATTTTGCTATACACATGTTGTATTTTTAGTTTTCTTTTAATAGGATTTTCACCAATATATTTGTTTTGATGTATTGCATAGAATGCAAGTCCAGTATTAGAACAAGGAAAATACTTGAAAATCATTTATGAAACATACAACCAAGAATCAACCATAGGTAACTTAGCCAAACCATGATCATTAGGTTAGGTTAGAATTTATTGGTTCTTTTTTCTGTTCCATATTAGTTTTAAGTCAAGCATATTTATGGGAGGAAACACCTAGGCCCTGACTTGTAACTGGGATCTTGAAATTGAATAATTAAAAAAATATATATCATCCTTTACTTACATACTAAATTTCTAGAGGAGAACTGTGTGGTAAGAAGAGGCCTTTAGAAGGGATAAATCTTGATAGTACTGTATTGCTGTCAGGCATAACTCAGACACACTAATCCATTCTCTTGTTTGTTGACATTACTTGTTAACTATAAAATGCCGATGTCAGGAACAAACTACAGATTCCAGTCTTTCCTCATGCAGTGTGAATGTACAGTGCCCTCTCTGATCCCATAGAGAATGAAGTGTTCCCTTGTGATTTTAGACACTTAAATAGTGTATAGTACAGTATACTGCTGTCATGCAGTTGTAGGGGTTCTGTTAATATGATAAGTTTATATTGTACTACAAGTGTTTACTTTGTTTAATGACCCTCTGGCAGGCTGGATTTACATTCTAGGCCAGTGGTTCTTAAACTTTTTTGCATCGCTTCCCCTCTCTGCACAAGTCCTAGATCCCCCACCCCCCCACCCCCTAATGCAACCCTTGGTTATTATAGAGTGGGAGGGATGGGCAATAGTGTACAAGATGCATTCAGTTCCTCACCAGACTTTTCTCTCTGACCACTTTCGCTCCCCTTGGAATCTTCTGGCGCCCACCCCAGTTTAAGAACCACTGTTCTATGCATTAAAACAAATGTACTATTGGTGCAGATCCTGTCAAAAAATTGCTAGAAATAACAACACAGAGGTAAACTAAACATTTACCATCAAGTCCTAGCTCATTATTAAGTGGGTGGGAGACTGATTTCCTCTTCATATTTTCATTTTAGCTCACAGTTTTTGTCATGCGACTAAAAGGAACTCCAAGCTAAGGAAGACTAAACTCAAGAACTCCCAAGGCTGCTGTGGTACAGTACTGCTCATCAACCATGAGATGAAACTATAGCAGCTGCCAAAGCACATATGTGGAAGCATCACTGATATTTCTTCCTGTGACATCATTACTCTCAATACATCTACACCTTGAAACCAGAGTGAAAGTACAGTATAAGGAGAGAGGCAGCTGTGGATCTCATGGCCAAGAGCATACTACGACAAACAGTGGTGAGTGACCTGCACTAAAACGAAGGTAGAGCAGACTGCAAGTGAAGGATGGTGCAATCTGAAGTTCTTGTGCAGTCTGAAGTGACTTAAGATAAAAATCTGTCTCTGCCATAAGTAGTCATGTGATGGCTCTGCTAGGGATAGCTAACAACTCAGATAATAATGGATTGATGATGGAGCATGAACCTAAGGGGAGAGCAGGAAAGAATTTTCTCCTTCAGGAAACTAGGTTTCTTTTGCTCAAAAAGCAGGATATGCTAAGCAGCAAGTGTACTTAGAAGGGCTTTATAACAGCTAATGAACAGCTGTCAATCATTTTTGGTTGAAAATGTAATTTTTAACACTCAAAATGAGTGCTTTAAGTTCTGCCTATGGCAGTTTTACCTATACTGTACCTGTATTGGTAAGATTGTACAGTGCCCGGTAAGTCCACAATATATGCAAGATTTACATTCTTGGAAAACCCTTGTTTGATTGAATTCACTCAAGTTGACTTAAAGCTCTTAAAGGAAAAGGGGGGTGGAGTTTTTTTATCTGAAAGATCTTTTACTATTCCCCCCCCACCACACACACACACACAATATATATATAAATATATATATATATATATATATATATATATATATATATATATATATATTTTATATATATATATATATATATTTTATATATATATATATATATATATATATATATATATATATATATATATATATATATATATATATATATATATATATATATATATATATATATATATATATATATATATATATATATATATATATATATATATATATATATATATATATATATATATATATATATATATATCTTGATAAAATCACACGGGAAAATGGAAACAACGGAGTATATATAACACAATGTTCATAATGATGGAAAAACATCAAACCTACTGACTACAGTACTGTACGTACACAGTTACATGGATAATAAATATAATTTGAAGCTGTATTGTACTCAGTCTTTCATCTCAAGTTTGCACATACAGTAACCTGGCTGACACTAACTAACAACTTTTAACTCTTCTAGAATATTTCGTTGATGGTGTAAGCAGATTGCCTCATCGTGGTGTTAGAAATAGATATACTGCAGTTTTTCTAGGTAGACTTCATTGCCCTCCTTTGAAGCCATTGCTTCACTAGTTGAGTTAAATCTATTTCAGTATACCATACACATGATCACTCAGGGACACTAGAGTACACTTCTGACTCTGTGTACAGTTAAGATCATAAACGTGCTTCTAGCCTACATGCATGATATCAGCCAGGTGCTTTGGTAATACTGTATGGCAAATAGCTGACAGATTTGTTTTTTTATGACCAGTTATTTAAAATGTATTATTGTAAATAACCTCAATCTTTTGTTGTACAGTACTGTATATATTGGTGATTGGTATCAGATGTGCAAAACATGGGAAAAGAAAGTTATTGAGAGAAATATGACATTACTGCTGGATGATTTATTACTGGAGATCCAGACCTGTGATTATAAACAACAGTTGTCATACTGCTGCTGCCAAGAATTCTTTTTATGCTTAATGTAACTGATACGTATAAATATTACAGTAATGTACTCGTAAATATGGAAATAATGTGATAGTATTATGTAAACGCGTCTCTATCATTCTCTAATCATATTCTGACCACAATCTATTTCCCCATCTACTAAAAACCCTAACCATACTTACCACAATGGTCATTCACTGTTTCCACTCCTTAAAATACCTATATAACCTATCCGTCCTAACCCCACTTATTGCAATTCATACTCTACTTCCCACACTCCCTACCAAAACCTCCTAACATACCAACCCATCCTTCCAGAATCATCATACTTAGCAACCACATCAATACAATCCTTTAATTTCTCCCTCTTTCTGCATATTCCAAAATTAATTCCCTCACACCCTCTCTCCACATTCTCCCCCTACCTCTTATCATTTTTATAATCTTTTCTCTTCCTTTCCATTTTCCTGGCCACTCTCACATCCTTCTCTCTGCTCCCCCCTCTCCTCAGCCTTGGTTCTCCCCCTCCCTACTCTCCCCTACATAAGGTAGAATATAACTGTACAGTATGCTCTTTGGTTCACTCGGGTTACAGTATTAATACGTTTACTTGGATTAAATATGTCCATTGTGTTGGGAATGAACTATGTGCTATGCACTATAACTTATTTTAAGAATAGTTTCTGTTGTTTGTTAATGTTCTGTGCATGAACCTATTTTCCAAAAGTGAACATTACTTTTATCTTTCTGAAACTTTTTACAATAAAGTTTATCTTAAACCATGGTAATATTTGCAATTCAAACTTGCACCTATTTTAGCATTTGTAAAATATAAAGTAAACAGAGAGGAGAGACACATACTTCATGGTTATTGCTGAAAACATTTATTTAATACTGTACCATCAAGCATAAAGGATTCAGTATCAGTAGTCTTATGGCAAATGTAATTTCTAATCATACGTCTGGATCCCCAGTAATTAATCATCCTGCAGCTATGTCATGTTTATTGTCAATAAATTTTTTTTTTGTGTTTTATACATTTGATACAGTACCAATTGGTTATGGTATATACTGTACAGTACAACAAATGTATTCCAAACTAATCTCCAATTGCAAATCTTAAATAACTGGTCATTTAAAGCATATCTGCCAACTCTTCACCATACAGTGTTAACAGATCACATGGCTCTTATCATATACATAGGCTTCAAGTGAATTTATGATCTCAATTTTACTTTGGGCAATTAGTCTACAATAGCTGTTTGGGCACTGGGGTATCATTGAATTATATTTTCTTATATTTTTATATCCAAAATTTAATTAAATAAGTTATGCAACATGCAGATGTACAGGTACTGTTTTTATTTAATTTTTGTAGTACAGTACCACAACTTTAATTTACAGAAGAAAGGTCATGTATTTCAGATTTTGTTTTAACATGTGACTTGTTATGTAGAATTTGCATAAATTGAGTGCTCACTGTAACTAATAACAGAAGAGATAATTATCCAATGAGTAAGAATTTAAAAAAAAATTAATTCAATAGATAATTCCTATGTATGAAAGAATCTCTTCCTTATAGCATGGGTATCAAACTGAAACTTCGGTGCTATTGCTACACATTGTATTGTATAGTAATGCACTGTGATCATGATGTTACCAGTTTTGTCCTTAATCAGACTTGGGTATGTTTTAATAACACCAAAGCAGCTACTAAATGTCCTCAGAAGAACAAGTTCCTCGGTGATTTTCATCATAAATATTGTAAATAAAATACGTGTGTTAAGGTTACTGTATATGTCAGTGCAGAGAACTGAAGCCTCAGTGATGTAATTTTATCACCAAGACAGGGTGAGGTTATTGCTCATGGTAACTATAAGCTGAGTACAGTACAGGTATATACAGTACTGTAGGTACAGGACAAGTACTGTATTGAAAAAGAAAGCCTGATGTGTCCTAACCTTTTTGTGCTGTATTGACACTCATATTTGTGTTCTTATACTGGACCAGCTGGAATTGTTGAAACCATATATAATTGTCCGAGTTAGCTGTATCTAATATTTGACCTTTATAGGTTTGTTGTATGAATCTTATTTTTTACTTCCATTATTTTATATTACTTTGAATATTTAAAAAAAAAATTTTGTTTATATACTTTGTGATGTAACATCAACAACGATTGTTATTGGTATACCCTGTACTTTGTTTTTATGCATAGGTTAGAGTTTTTAGGTATAAAGGAAACTGGCTCCCAATAGAGATAGAATTATAAAGGGTGTCACCATGGTTGTTCAATATCTTCATGGTTGGTGTAGTAAGAGAGATGAAAGCAAGGGTAATGTTGAGGAGTGCACGTTGAGTATATAATGGTATGAAATGCAAGTGGGAAGTGAATCGGCTACTATTTGTATAAGACACTGTCTTAGTGGTCAGTTCAGAAGAAAAGTTAGGAATATTAGTGAATGAGTTTGGGGGAATGTATACCAGAAGAATGTTAATAGTGTACAGTACGAGAATGTGAACAAAAAAAAAAAAAAAATTGAGAAGGAAGGCAAGGAGAAAAAACTAGTGTATTTTTGTTTCTGGTAACTTGGAGTGGATGTGCTAAGGAATGGGACAGTGAGTGATTAATTGAACCTCAGAATTGAAGAGGGAAATGGTGTAATAGGTGAATTGAGAAATGTATGGAGAGGGAGAGAAGTACAGTTGGCTCCATTCCTGCAGTTGCCACCTAGCATTGCTAATCTTCTATCGCCATAAGGTGTGAACCCGAACTCTGAAGTGTGAATTCAAAGTATTCAATAATAAGAGGGAAGGAGAGGTGTGTCAGGGAAGGTGTCTTTTTGTGGGGGGAGGGACAGGATACTAGGGGTGAGGACAGAAAGAGTATATCAGTAGGGAGAGATTACAATACAGGATAACACTTGAACGATACTGATGGGGTTTTTCAGCTGAATGTAATCATCTAGTGTTAGCCAGGTGAAAATACTAAAGTTAAAGTGGAGGAGTGGGAGATGAGTTCATGTTCTAAGTAAGGTGTTGCTTTGCAAAAGGGGGCATTTATGAACATCCGGGGGTCGTGGCCCATGGTCCAAACGTCCTGCGTTCCACCAGAATATAGAAATAGTTTAAGGTGCAACCACTAAAGCACTCAAAATGTGTAGAAAAGGACATTTATTCTAACTAACACTTAATAATGTGCACGAGTAGCTAAGACTAATAACTCCCACACCCTGGTTGTTTAAAATACTGGGTATCACTTGTATTTTTATCATAACTGCACCATAAATTGCTCATTTGATAATCCCTGTAATTATAATAATAATACAGTAAGTTGGATGAATAGGTTGTAGAGTTTGATAAATACAGAAAAGAGGAAAACTGGAATTGAGAGAAGCATTAGCCAGAGAGTGTATCAGGATTTGTACTGGTGGCATAGACAGATTTAGAGAATGAGAAGTAAAATTTTGA